TGGTCCTCCTCTTTAAGAAGAGGGACCACACAGACTGTAACAACTACAGGGGCATCCCACTCCTCAGTGTGCCGGGAAAGGTCCTGGCAAGGATTATTCAACATCGCCTTGCTCGGCACGCTGAGGAGAGGCTTGCGGAGCTCCAATGCGGTTTCAGGAAAGGGCGGTCCTGCACAGATGCCATATTTTCTGTCCGTCTGCTACAGCATATGTGTAGGGAATTCCAACAAGAACTACATCTCTGCTTTATTGACCTGGTCAAGGCCTATGATACCATCAGTAGGCCTGGGCTCTGGGTTCTTCGTGCTTTCGGAGTCCCTGACCCTCTGCTCACGATCATTAAGGACCTTCATGATGGTGAGCAGGCCCGGGTTAAACTACGTAGCCGGGAGTCAGAGCCATTCCCTGTACACCTTGGAGTGCGACAGGGATGTCCTCTGGCTCCCACATTATTTAACATCTATTTTCACCACGTAGTTGGTGAAGCCTTCAATAGCTGTACCGGGGGAATTTCCATTTGGTACAGATATATTGGGAGGCTGATCGATGCCCGGGTGCGATCAAGGGATGGCTCCCTATTGGTCAACTAGGTTACGTATGCCGATGATTTGGTAATAGCTGCTCATTCAGAGGAGGAGTTGGAGATGCTGCTGCTGAGACAGGAGCGTGCCACTAAGAGGTGGGGCCTTACCATCAACCCCACCAAAACTAAGCACCTGCCTGGGTATTTTGTACCATCGGACACTCCACCCCCACAATTCCCAATCGGTGATGGGCCAGTTGTGGAAAGTGTGGAGAGTTTCCCATACCTGGGCAGTGTGATTATGACCGGCTCCAGTTTAACAGCAGAGGTCTCACTCCGAATAAGTCGAGCGGCAATATCTTTTCATTGGTTGCGTAACGCTGTGTGGAAGCTTCACGTCTTCTCGGCCACAGTCATTTCCTCCCTTCTCTACGCTTGCGAAACGTGGACCCCCCTAATGGAACATCTTCGCCGGTTGGAAACATTTAGGCTGGCCTGCCTACAATCCATCCTGGGTCTAACCATGCTGGATTGTGAGGAGCTCACAAATCCTTTAAAGATGTGTACAAAGTCCCATCGGTGAGCTCCTCCGGAAGGCAAGGCTGCGTTGGCCTGGCCCATGTAGCACGCATGCCCAGCCACCGCATCCCTAAACAGCTTTTGTTTGGCCGGATCGTTGGGGCTAAAAGGGCGCGCCACGGCCTAGAGAAGCGATGGAGTGATGTGCTACAGGAGGATGTGGAGCGGAGTGGACTTGTCGATGACTGCTACCAGTTCTATAAAGATCGGCCTCTGTGGAGAAGCCTTGTGAAGGACGCTACTGGCCAGTTGGAGGCAGTCGTCCTCCAACAACAACGGAGGGCGGAGGAGCGACGTTCACAACAATGGGCGGAGCGCCGTGTGGCTAAAGCACAGCAAGTTGGCACAGTAGGGGGCACAGGTGGTGCATCAGCGAGTCATCTCGGTCGTCTCAGTCAGTCGACTTGTCGCATCTGGGTCTGCCCCGTCACCTCCTACCAGCGAGCGTTCGACGCTTCGTGGCCTCAAGGTGCATAGAGCCTGCCACAAGCGTCGTGGTGACGTCACCGCCACTTAGTGCCGAATGCTGGTTGTTGTTGTATGGTAATGTGAGATTTTGCCAACTCCACCAACCGGAGGGAGAAGCACCTCTATCGGCTACCACCGGCGTCCTTCCAGACTCACAACTTCGTCCCTGGTTCCCTCACTCTACTCGTTCCCACAGTGACCCCGCTTTCGTCACGGGGTCTCCCTTAAGTACTCCACGTTCTGTGACGTCATCGCACTGGATGGCACACATGACATCACGTCCCCATTCTACTTCTCTACAGATTTATAAAATAGCTGACAGCCGCAAGATGAATAGAGGCTGTGAGAAGCACAGACCTGTGTGGTCAGGAAACATTAGATCAGCGCAATGGAGTTTGCTTCTAGATGAACCTGATGAGTTCACTAGGTCTAGGATATGGCCACAGCGATGGGCGGGGAAATCAATATGTTGGGATAAATCAAGACAGTCGACAACAGAAAAAAAGTCCAGAGCAGATTTTCAATTAGGATCATCAACATGAACGTTAAGGCCACCAAACATTAGAATAACAGAGGAGAGTGAGCTTAGCTGGGTCAACAATTCAGCCAAGTCACTCAGAAAATTAGCATTGGGTTTAGGTGGTCGATACAGGGCAATGAGCAGCATATGGCATGAGATAGTAATCGGTTTGAGTAACCGACATTCAAAAGAGGGTATGTGTTTTAGTGTTTGGGGCCTCCGTAAACAAACATTTGCTCAAAAGTTGTTTGGTATGTCTTTTAACGTTGCTGCGTTCAAGTTTCTGGAATACACATTCACAGAATATTTCCATCCCTTCACTTTCCCTCATTTCCCTTGAGCTTACTTGCACCTGTACCTAATTGTATTCTGGTGCCTCTTGCTCTCACGTTACGTTTGCACTGCATTTCTTTTGCGTGAGTTTATGTCCATATCACATTAAAATATAGATATTACTTGCACCTGTACCATTTTTTCTGACGCCTCTTGATATCAACACATTTGCAGTCTTTTTAGATCCATGTGTTTTCTTGATGACCCTTAAATATCTCGATTGTTGTGCAATATTCGATAAGACCCTGTGCTCGTTCTCGGCAGTATGTTTTTGTTGCTCGTGCGATCACGCACCACGGATCTCCCTTACAAAATAGCCATGGAACTGGCTACACGGAATCATCCATATGTAGTGGGTTCAATTGAGGCGCACACTTGATCTTGGAGGCAACACGTTTATTAACTAATACCACGGGGTAACTGTTAACATTATCAGGATAATGACTTAGGGTGGTGACCACCACGGCTGACTATATATACATTGGACAGTATAACTACTAATCGGACCAGAACAGCTAACACGCTGCCTGATCCACGTGCTTTAAACAACAATGATCGGCAACGGCAGAGGTATTGGTCCTATTGTATTTCAGAACTGCCTTGTGTTCACGGACGCGGTCCGAGACATGCGGGTCAAAATCAGGATATGTATTTATACTACAGGAGGAATCCGATGAGCTATAAAGCAATTTTCCCCAGACGTCCAGTCAAGGCACAGGGTAAGAACATCACACCAACAAACAGTATATAAATATTATAGGAGTGCAAAGTACAAGAAAGGTAAACAAATCACCCTCACACATACAAACCATCCCCATCCTACCAAGCAAGCCCAATGAGGTATTAACTTATTTTTTAGAAGCGACCTGACCACAACTGATAGCTCAACAAAGTGGGCCATTTGGACATTTGAACCTTATAGCGGGACCCCGGGGTCCAGAATAAACGTAAGTCAAAATTGTCATTAATCTATTTTTCGCGACTCCGTCCCACCGCGCACATAAACGCCGCGACCCACATGGCGTGGATCATTCTGTTGTCATGTCGTCCAAGCGCAACGAGAACGAATGTGCAGAAGAAACTAAACTTTGAAACTTTGATTAGCGCAACGTGTAGAGCTCGTCGAGAGGAATATATTGCCACATCGTTCTCTTTCAACAGACATAAAATGACGTCGCAATGCAGTTTATGCGAGAGCCAGGGGCTTATAGGGCCCCGGGTTCTCGCCATAAGGTTAATTTATAGAGGCACTGCTCATCATAGCGTTACCGTCCGACACCAACGAGGTGGTAGTTTTGCCGGACAGTACACACAGACACACGTACACACACACGTACACACAGACACACACGTACACACAGACGAAGACAATGATCCCCTGTGTCGCCTGAAAATACTGCTGGCGGCAAGTGCTGTTAGCGAGCACCTTTGAAGGCCGGAACGGTACACGAGGGGGTGGGTGGCCAGCACCACGCCCGACCGCCGATGTCTCCCCAGTGGTGATGTTTACACTCCGCACCAGGTACTCATTTGAGGCTGAGTCGACCTAGGAGAGGCCCAGGACCGGTTCAGATAATTGTCACTGGGTGTTGGCCGTCAGCAGGAATCAAACTCGGGTCGCCAGCTTCGTAGCGCAGCGTAGCGTTAACCACTACACTACCGCTCCCCACACACACGTACACACACACACATGACACACAGACAGTACACACACTCGGATTGTCTTCTCAACCCAGGGACTCAGACGCTCTACTAAAGTGCAACAGCTCGTACTCCATCTCGCGTCCCGGGTCGAGCTTCCTCCAAATGAACCTTATGGCGGGACCCCGGGGTCCGGAATAATCGTAATTTATTGATTTTTGGCGACTCCGTCCCACCTCGGACAAAAACGCCGCGACCCCACCAGAAATCAACCCTCTCGTTCCTCACCAAGCACGCGCCGTTGCCAAAATTGCCGTAGTCACAAACAAAACTTTTGAAACTTTGATTAGAGCTCGTGTCGAGCTCGCCGAGAGGAACAGATTGCCGTATCGTTCGCCTTCGACGGACTTAAAATGACGTCACAAAACGCAGTTCATATGCGAGAGCCGGGAGCTTATGAAACCCCGGGGTCACGCCATAAGGGGCCGTCCATGAATGACGTCACGCGATTTTGGACGATTTTTGACCCCCCCCCCCCCTCGTCACACGGCGTCACAAAAAGTCAGACCCCCCCCTCAAATATGACGTCACAAAGTCCTACCCCCCCCCCCCACCCCAAATAAAACATGCTTCAAATCGCTTTAAACTATTGTCATTGTAGTGCGTATTTAATGTGGCGCTGCACTCTGATGTTGTAGGAGAAAACATTAATTAACAAGTCTATTTAATTAAGTAGAACGTGTCATCTATATTTTATTTAAAGTTGCGCATTTTGATGTGACGTCACATTTCTCAACCCCCCCCCCCCCTCGTCACATTGTCACAAATGTCTGACCCCCCCTCCCCCCTAGGTGCGTGACGTCATTTATGGACGGCCCCTTAGGTTCACTAATCGGTACCCCGACTACCGCCCCCGCTGTTCTAGTTCCGGGCGCCATCCGCTCCTCCCTCGTCCACGAGCCGCTCCGTCTCCTGCAGGGAGGTCCCCGCCCCCCTCGGCCTCCAGCCGCCTCCTCCTGCTGCTGCTTCTGCAGGTCGGGGGGCTTCTCGCTGTGGAGCTCACGGGGCCGGGGCCACTCCTGCTGCTGCTGCTGCCTGCTGATGCCTCCTGCTGCTGCTACCTCCTGCTGCTCCTCCTGCTGCTGCTCCTCCTGCTGCTGCTGCCTCCTCCTGCTGCTGCTGCTCCTGCTGCTGCTCCTCCTGCTGCTCCTCCTCCTGCTGCTGCTGTTCCCTGCTGCTGCTCCCTGCTGCCTCCTCCTGCTGCTGCCTGCTGCTGCCTCCTGCTGCTGCTACCTCCTGCTGCTGCTACCTCCTGCTGCTGCTCCTCCTGCTGCTGCTCCTCCTGCTGCTGCTGCTCCTCCTCCTGCTGCTGCTTCTCCTGCTGCTGCTCCTCCTGCTGCTGCTGCTACCTCCTCCTGCTGCTGCTCCCTGCTGCTGCTGCCTCCTGCTGCTGCTGCCTCCTGCTGCTGCTCCCTGCTGCTGCCTGCTGCTGCCTCCTGCTGCTGCTACCTCCTGCTGCTGCTACCTCCTGCTGCTGCTGCCTCCTCCTGCTGCGCCCTCCCCCTGCTCCTTGTTGCTGCTCCACTAAACTTGCGTTTCGAGGATTTGGCTGCTGCTATGAATGTCCCCGTGACGATGATGGAGATGATGTCAGCCCACTTGGTTGAGCTGTTATCATTTGTGATTGCTGGGTCGCTTCTGACGAAAGAGCCACACAGATCAGTTGGCATCTGGTAAAATAAAAACATATTTTAGTTTGGGTCCCGATGAGTATGAATCTCTGTAGGTCTCTGGTTCTACATGAGTATGGGTCTCTATGGTTCTATATGAGACTGGGTCTCTATGGATCTATATGAGTATGGGTCTCTGGTTCTACATGAGTATGGGTCTTTATGGTTCTATATGAGACTGGGTCTCTATGGTTCTACATGAGTATGGGTCTCTATGGTTCTACATGAGTGGGTCTCAATGGTTCTACATGAGTATGGGTCTCTATAGTTCTACATGAGTATGGGTCTCTATGGTTCTACATGAGTATGGGTCTCTATGGTTCTACATGAGTATGGGTCTCAATGGTTCTACATGAGTATGGGTCTCTATAGTTCTACATGAGTATGGGTCTCTATGGTTCTACATGAGTATGGGTCTCTATGGTTCTACATGAGTATGGGTCTCTGGTTCTACATGAGTATGGGTCTCTATGGATCTATATGAGTATGGGTCTCTGGTTCTACATGAGTATGGGTCTTTATGGTTCTATATGAGACTGGGTCTCTGGTTCTACATGAGACTGGGTCTCTATGGTTCTACATGAGTATGGGTCTCTATGGTTCTACATGAGTATGGGTCTCTATGGATCTATATGAGTATGGGTCTCTGGTTCTACATGAGTATGGGTCTTTATGGTTCTATATGAGTGAGTATAGAATTAACTTTGCTGCTATTAACTTCCACGTCATAAGCCACTTTGTTGAGCTGTCATTTGCATGGGCAGGTCGCTTCTGACGAAAGAAAATGTAGCACAGTGAGGCCTTGACTGGTAAAATAAATAAAAAAGTTTATAGTTTGTAATTATCCTGCACGCAAAGATGTCGTGCTCCGTTATGCGTGCACGACAAATGTGATTTCATACCTGTTAACCCCTTATCTGTGCCTACCTTATTACAGACCAATTCAGATCTTATTGGTCACCGCGTGCCTTTATACATTTTAACATTCATCCTACAAAGTACCATCACAAGGGAGAAACACAAAGACATTTTTTTTGCCCGTATTGAAACGTCTGTATGCCGTATGGATCTGGAAACTCAATGTCCCTGTACAAGAATACGGGGTAAACCGTACGGGTTGACACGATATGCAATTTGCTGTTGCTTCCCACACTCTGCAATGTCTCGGTGAGCAGCAGCAGGAGCTACCGCGTCTTCCTTGGGGCAGACTACGAGGAGGTGGAGGTGGTGGTCGTGGTGGGGGTGGTGGAGGAGGAGGTGGTAGCGGAAGTGGAGAGCCCCCTTCTGTGCTCATGGAGCCGTGCATTAAGCTAGAAGAAGACGAAGAGAAGCCTGGCAGTAAGATATGGCTGCCAGTGAAAGTGGGGACGCAAGGCTGCAATGGCTGTGAGTATTATCTCCCAATAGGGCAGGGGTGGGGAACGTCCGGCCCACGGGCCATATGAGGCCCGCGAAATCATTTAGTCTGGCCTGCCAAGGCAACCGCAGGCGGGACTCGAAAGTCAATGAATCTAGGAGCACACCTGGAAAAGCAGTTGCGAGTAGCAACATCATCAATACCAGCTAACATCACACGCCTCACCAAAGAGAAGCAGTTCCAGCCATCGCATTAGGGGTGAGTTAATTAAATGTTTGACCAAATATAACAGGCTAATTTTTAAGTTGATAATTTTGTATGGCCCACGAATGATGTTATAAATATCCAAATGGCCCTTGGCAGAAAAAAGGTTCCCCACCCCTGCAATAGAGACTGGCAATGGTCTGAACGTCTTTCGCACCTTACTTTGCCACATTTCCAAATTGGAGGTGCGGTGTAGTGTAGTATGCAGTGTTGTGTATAGTGTAGTGTAATCGGTGGTGCTGAGGGGAAGGACAATCTAAAACACAAAAAGTGCAGTTCTAAAGAAATTAGTTTTCATTCTATATGCTTGAATGTATGTATGTGTGTTGAACTTATTTCGCACCGTACGTAGCCAACCGTGCGAATCGGAGATGCAATCTCCTCGGACATTTGGAAACACGTTTTGAAAGATTCGTGCATGTGACTGTGTGACTCTTTCAATATAATTCCAAGCATGCATCTCTGCATACTGCTTTGTACATTCTTCTGATGTTCAATTTTTTCCATGTGTTCGAGAACATACATGACGCTCGAAGCATCATATTTTTGCCAAGGTGGCGAGATATTAACGACCTCGCCTGGTATACAGGAGGCCGTGGGTTCGATCCCGACTGACTCCTGTATATTTGGAGTTTGCACGTCTCTCTCTCTCCCCGTGGTCGCGTGGATTTTTTTATTCGGGTCCTCCGGGTTTTCCCTCCACATTTAGAATCATGCGTTTTGAGTATTTGGCTGATATACATTTCCCCATGATAAGCCAATTCGTTGAAGCTATAATTTGTGATGGGCAGGTCGCTTCTGAAAAAGAGCTACACAGCTCAATGGGCCTTCCCTGGTCAAAATAACAGTTTAGTTTTATAAATTGAAGAAAAGCAAGAGGATTTTGGGCAAGACGTCTCACTAGAAGGGATGACAGCCTTGTGGTCAAGACTAAAGTCACAATGGCGATTTCAGTCGGCTAGAGTGTAGGTCTCGTGGATTCTGATATCACAGGATCATGAGAGCAGCGACTCTCTGCCCACAGTGCGAGGCTGAGCGCCTCTCTTGTCCCACTGGCGCGCAGGGAGAATTATGCTGCTGTTGCGAACTGCTTCTAGCTTCTGTTAGCTGCTGAGCTGTTCTCCACACAGTCATCGCTGTTCGCGATAGAGGGGTTGGGGTAGTGATATGCGTTGGGGTAGTGATAGGGGTAGTGATTGGGGTTGGGGTGTGGTCGTAGCTGGGGGTCGAGGGCAGGGAGTAGCAGGATGGGCGAGAGAGAAGAGATGGGGATTATTTTAAGGGAGGAACGGAAGCAGGTTAGTGAAAATTATTGTTTTACGTGCAAGATTTGTTTTAATGTGTAGCATGCGTTTGTGCTTATAAATCTGTTCACTGTTCACCCGTCATATTCCATCTCTCAGCTGAAGGAACGGACATTCGCATTAAAGAGGAGGAAGTTCAGGCTGATGGGAGTAACCTGGCAATCAAAGAAGAGAAACCGAGTGCCGATGGCCGAGAACTTCAGCTCAAACTAGAGACGCGACAGGTCGATCGAAGGGACCTGCACATTGTGGAGGTCGACCTTAAAGGTCCGCTGATTGGCGATTGTTCATCTGTGGCATCTGGGGAGCCACGATTCTCACGGGGGGACTGTACTGCATCATCAAGGGTGGCGGAGATTGAAGTGGAGGTGGGCGACGATGATGGTGATGGTAAGGGAGGGATGGAACTCTGTGGGGTCTTGGTCAGTACGAGGGGCAAGGTCTGGTACAGAGGCCTCTCCAAACTGTCGACGTGGTGGAGATCGAGGTGGTTTTGGAGGATCTAACCGCCGATAGTGTAGAGGGGAGCTCCATGTGTATGGGTCATTATGAGTGAGGCCTGTTAACCCTTTTACAGCTCAGTGCAGAAGTCCCTCGGTTAACGTTTTTAGTCCATTCCACAAAAATTACTGTTAACAGAAATAACGCTGAATCGAATTCACTTATGAGTTGAAAAATAATAGTCTGCAAGAGGGCTGTTTCCACTGACAAAACAGAAAACGTACAATGTTAAACAAAGCCAAGTCGAGGTCTAAACCGCTCATAAAGGAGTGTCGCTGATTGTCTGAGGGCACGGCTCAGCCCCCACTTACGAGTACTCGGATTGGCCAAAATTGGCGCCACCACGTGCATAGCGTAAACGTATCGTCAGTCAACATTAGTAACGTGAAGTCGAAACCATGGGCGTCCTATGGGAGGTGAAACGTTAACTGCAAAAACCGTTCACCGATGTCACTGATAGCCTAGGGATTATTATACCCAGCGATGCCCTTTAGATAGGCCTAATAGAGGCAGACCATGCTTAGTGCTCAAGATGCATTCCTGGAGAGGTGAGCGCTAACCAAATCGGCGCTAAAAGGGGGTTATAAGATATTAGGAAGCCACTGGAGTTATGCACTTTTATATCATCTAGATTGAAAACTTATTTTTTGAGAACTCTCTGTTGTGTCTAGTTTGTTGACCTTCCACCCGCACCTCCGATTACCGTGGTCGGTTGTCTACGTACGGTGGTGCGAAGGAAGTTGCTTTTGTGGGCTTTTCTCGAACATTTAAAGTGGTGCAGTGCTCTGCGAGGGCATCAAAATTGATTATTTGTCTCACGATGTGACGCCAATCGGGAAAAAAATGTGTTAACGCCCGAATGTTTGTGTCACAGGAAGGGTCGTGAACGGTGGCCTGAAAACGCCCTCCCATGCAAAAACTGCCAGGACAACCACGACAACAACTCACACCGAAGAGAGAGCGCATGGCTGCTCCGTGTGCGGCAAGAGCTTCGTTCGTCCGTCGGATCTTAAGAACCACGCGATGAGCCACACGGGAGAGAAGCCGCATAAGTGCTCCGTGTGCGGGAAGGGGTTCGGCCGCCCTTTCTCGCTGAAGGCCCACGCGATGATCCACACGGGCGAGAGGCCCCACGTGTGCTCCGTGTGCGGCAAGGGCTTCGGCCGCCTGTCCACCCTTCAAAACCACGCCGCCACGCACGCCGGAGAGAAGGCGCACCGGTGCCCGGTGTGCGGGAAGGGATTCGCCCGCCCGTCGACACTCAAGGGCCACATGATGATCCACACGGGCGAGAGGCCGCACCGGTGCCCGACGTGTGGAAAGGAGTTCAGAAAGTCGACGCAACTCAAGGGCCACGTGAGGAGTCACACCGGGGAGTGGCTCCACAAGTGCTCCGTGTGCCGGAAGGGTTTCGTCCGCCCATCAGAACTGAAGAGCCACGTGATGACGCACATGGGGGGTGAGAGGCTACACCGGTGCTGCGTGTGCGGGAAGAGTTTCTTACTCCCGTCGTACCTCAAGCATCATATGGCCACTCACGACGAAGAGAAGCCACACAAGTGCTCTGTGTGCGAGAGGGGCTTCGGGTACTTGACGTCGCTGAAGTATCACATGAGGGTCCACACGGGGGAGAGGCCGCACAAGTGCCCTCTGTGCGAGAAGGACTTCAGGCACTCGACAGCCCTGAAGAGTCACATGATGACCCACACGGGAGAGAGGCCGCACGAGTGCTCCGTGTGCACGAAGAGTTTTTCTGATCCATCGAACCTCAAGGTTCACATGGCGACCCACAGCAGACGTAGCCGCAGGTGAGGGAGCCCAGTTATAAACCAAAGATTTTCAAGAAAGACGTCTGTAAGGAGTGAATCAGTTCTCTCGGCAGCTCGAAATGAATTGCAAGGAACTGACAAGTTTGCTGCTACAGTAGTTACTTATTTCATTGAAATAATTAACTAAACTGAAACTAGACTTTTTATTTTACGAGGTAAAGTCCCACTGAGCTAGGTAGGGCTTATACCGAAAATGACGTATACCAAACGAATTTTTCTCATGAGAAATAAAGGGAAAGAAAATAATCCATTCCAGAGTATAAGAAATTATATTTTATATGGCATATTATACATTAATGGGGTTGTATAAAATAACTTACACTACTTATTACTAAAATGCATACATAAATAAAAATAAATTGAAATAAAAATAAAATTTTACATCATTTTACCTTGCTGAGAGGAGTTGAATGAATTCGCAAAAATTTCACGTTAAAATGACAAAAAACACGTGAAAATTCACAGAGAGTTATAGCAAGGGTTGTGCACTGAACGAAATCTACTGTACAGGCAGACTGAGGAGCGGCGCTTTGTTTCAGTCGTGAACGGGATATACGCGGGTACGCGGTGACTCATCCCGATCCATACAAGTTCTTGCAAGCGCGTCGTATCCCAAGCAAGACGTCGTATCCCAAGACATTTTTTCTCGTCAAAACACGACGTATACCAAATTCTAAGTATTCCAAAGCGGTCGTATACCGATGTATGACTGTAACTGAAACACACGCCTGACACAAAGAAAATAAAAACTCAAGATGCGACCTGAACGGACATGTGTTGCCTTCCGCCCCTCCGCTCCCATTTAATCTGCGGTGGTTACACCCCTTTATCTTCGGTCCCTGTCTCCAAACCCTCCAGCCTACTAACTTATTTCAAATGTTGTATAATGGGGGCGGGGGATCCATCTGGCCTCAAATTCCTCCTTTTTTCTCTTGAGTTCATGGCCTAGATTGTTCCATTACATAATGCCCCATAAGCGTACTATTGTACCATTGTTTCCAGGTGGATGGTTCTTGGTTCTTCCAGTGAGTCACATTAACCAGAAAAGCAGACATTTTCACGCCACAAAAAACTAAGTTCTGCTCATTAAAATATCAGTCGTTAAACGCAGCCAGCGACTACTATCAAAGGTCCATTAGAAAAGTGTTCATATATTTCTTGAATTGAGCACGCTCGTGAGAAATTGAAACTCATTTTATTTTTATTTTACCAGGTAAGGACTCATACTCTTTGGTTCTTTCGGTAACGTCACGTAGGTAGAAACATAAAATAAAACATAATACATAAAAATTATATATTATTTTTTTGTATTTTATTTTTCTACCTACGTGACTTTACCGAAAGAACCAAAGAGTATGGATTCCTGCAGTCACGAAAGCTTCAAATCAAGGTAAGGACCCACTGAGCTATAGAGTAGCTCTTTGTTAGAAGTGACCTGGCCATCACACACGGTAGCTCAACGAAGTGGACTTATCATCAGGCGTAAATGTGTTGAGGTGCAACAGAAGACGCAGTTCTTTAGTAGGGGCGGAATGTCAGGATTTATTAAAGGCTAATGCCGGCAACTTATAAGGGCTTACGCCTAACAGTTGGAAACGTAGAATCTCCCCAGAGGAAAAGTACTGGGGAGGTCCCTAGCGCTTCCCAGGCTATTCGTGCTCTTCCCTCAGCACCGACCTGGTGAAGTAGCCCCCCCTAGCCTGGTACTAATTCTCCCGACCCCGGGTCCCGACTCTCCATAACGTAAGGGGTCGTGGTTTATAGCCAACGTGAATTGAGCGTGGACAATAAGACCCAAGCCGAAACATAAGATATAAAAAAGATTGCTTCAAATATGTATTGTTAATGATAGAATATAGTCTTGTGATCAGTATGACATACGTATACCAAGTTTGCAGTCGATACGACATTGGGAAGTGGGTAAACATTGAGTTACAAGATTTGAGGATACAACAGACAGAGTGAGTTAAATAAAAGCGTGTAATAAAAACCGGAGGACCCGGTCGTGGGCATCGAACCCACGACCTCCTGCAGACCAGGCGAGGTAGTTAACATCTCGCTAGCCACCGTCAAAGCCTTATCATTTAAGTGACGCTTCTCATCCTCCATCTCGCCTCCCGCGCCTCGCTTCGGCACCCCCACCCACCAATACCACGGGGTGCAATGCTGGTTCCTGGGCCCCAACCCTCCAATTCGCAGGTTCCGGGGCCCCCACCCTCCACACCGCTATGCAGGTTCAGGGGCCCCCACCCTCCACACCGCTATGCTGGTTCCGGGGCCCCTACCCCTCCACTTCGCTATGCTGGTTCCGGGGCCCACACCCCTCCACTCCGCTATGCTGGTTCCGGGGCCCCCACCCGTCGCTTGCTTCCTCATCGACTCCGCCTCCTGCTGCTGCTCGTCCTGCTGCGCCAGGTCGGGCCTCTCCCTGTGGAGCTCACGAGGCCGGAGCCTCTCGCTCTGCTGCTGCTGCTCCTCCTGGCGCTCCTTCGCCTGCTCCCCCCCCTCCTCTGCTGCGCCTTCTTCCATTGCTCTTCCTGCTCCTTCAACTAAACTATTGTGTGTTGTTGTGTTACCGGGTGCAAGGCCCCCTACTTAGCTGTTGTGCAGCCTCCTCTCTGTTGTGAGAGGCGACCCTGGGGCCATCGCCGACTACAGCAGCTCCGACCAAGGTGGGCCCTTGCCTGCTACAACACAAATCGAGCTGCAGACAAACATTGTAACAGCTCAGCATCGTCACTCGAGGGGTGCCGGTGCAGCTGTTCACTACCTCACCTGGTGTACAGGAGGTCGTGGGTTAGATCGTGTTCCAGACGCCTGCTGCTGTGTATTTGGAGTTTGCGTGTGAGCCACTTCGTTGAGCTGTCATTTGTGGCCAGGTCGCTTCTGAAAAAAGAACTACACAGCTGAGTGGGCCTTACCTCATGAAATCAAGTTTAGTTTTATAGATTGACTAAAAGCAAGATGATCTTGAAATGAAAATAGAGTGTTTATAATAATTCTGCACTGAGAGATGTGTGTTATTTGGTGACCCCACGGTGGCTAGGCAATGTTAACTACCTCGCCTGGTATACAGGAGGTCGTGGGTTAGATCCCGACCCTGATGCCTGCTGCTGTATATTGGAGTCTGCGTCTCTCTTCCCGTGGCCACGTGGATGTTTTTTTCCGGGTCCTCCGGTTTTTCCCCTCCACATTTAGAATCAACATCACCACGTGTTTAGAGTTGTTAGCTCTTGCTGTAAATTTCCACTCGATGATGATATCAGCCCACTTGGTTGGGTTATCATTTGTGATTGCTCTGTCGCTTCTGACAAAGAGCTTCGTTGGCACCTGGTAAAATAAAATAAAAATTTGTTTGGGTCTCGGTGAGTATGAATCTCTGTGGGTCTCTGGTTCTACATGAGTATGGGTCTCGATGGTTCTACGTGAGTATGGTCTCAATGGTTCTATTATACGAGTATGGGTTTCGATGATTCTATATGAGTATGGGTGTAGAATTAACTTTGCTGCTATTAATTTCGACGTCATGAGCCACTTTGTTGAGCTGTCATTTGCGATGACCGAGGTCGCTTCTGACAAAAGAGCTCCGTAGTTCCGTGGGGCCTTGACTGGTAAAATACAAAAAAAATAGTTTTAAATCGATCGCAAAAAACACCTATGTTGTGGAATGCAAATGTGATTTGCAGTTTATTATGTTTTGGGTCTTTCGGTAAAGTGACGTAGATAGGATCAAATAAAATAACAAAAAACTACGACGTTTCGATCGCAAGACAAGCGGTCATCAGAAAAAAGAGGATTAGCCTCTAAAGGCAAACTGTTTATAAAGGTTTAAAAATTGGCGTTGCCCAAGTATCATCAGCATGGGTGGGGCAGCTAATGTAAATGTGTTGGTACTTATAGAGGGCAACGATTAGTGGTGATTGTAGTATTGGGCAGTGATGGTCCCAATTAAAGGGTTGCCAGGTCTAATATGGAAACATAGCCAGTTACTTTTTGGTTCTTTCGGTAAAGTCACGTAGAAAGAAAATAAATTAAATAATAGAATACGACGTTTCGATTGCAACACAAGCAATCATCGGGTAAAAATGAATGAGAAAAAAACAAACCTAGTAAACTTAGGAATATAATGCAATACAACACAGAGTCGGTTAACATAATAGTCAACACCCTACCTGGTTGATTAGGTTTTTATGACTAAAACTGGATAACGTCCTACTCTTTGGTTTTTTCGGTAAAGTCACGTTGGTAAAAATAATGAAAAAACAACTAAATTAAATAACGATGTTTCGGAGGCAACACAAGCTTCCGTCTTCAGGAGGAACTGTTACAGCCAAAATCACTGTAATAAGTGAAGAGAGCTAATAGAGAAACATGACTATATAGGGTACGAAGGGGGGGGAGGAGCCAAGGTAGGGGGAGGGGGGGTTGGGGTTGCTGTGAGGGGTGGGGGCGGCAAGTGCTATGCTGAGTTAAGCCGATTGATAACATCTATTCATTATGCAGGAGAGGGGGGGGTTAATACGAAAGCTATTAGGAAATGAAAACAGCTAAATTAAATCACCAATACACTACACTACTATACTCTACACTCTACAATACACTGCACTACTATAGACTGCTATACATTACACTATTATCCACAATACACTACTATACTCTACACTACACTCTATACTACGATACTATAGACTACTGTACACGACACTATTAAACAGTCCACCATACGCTGCTATACACTACTATACACTACACGATTCTACGCTCTACTATTATACCCTACACTATACACTGCTATAAACTACGCAATACACTATTATAAACTTTGCTGCACAATACTGAACACTATAATACACAACTATACCCGAAACACTACTATAGACTCCTATCCACTATACTATAATACACTACACTATGCACTGGTATACACTCCACAATACACTACACTAGATACTATAGAATACACTACACAATACACTAATACACTACTATACACTACAATATACACTGGTATAAACTACACAATATACTACTATACATCACAGAATACACTATACTATACACTACTATACAAAACACTATCCACTACACTATACGTATACTATAGAGGTTCCTGGGCTCCTGGGCATAATGCTATGGGGGGGGAGGGGGGGAGTATTGGGGCACTATTAAAACACTGTTTGTCACATTTCTGAGTGATGATAGTGTATAAATCTGGGAGTAAATGAATGGAAATATGGATATGACTGTAAAACTATGAAGCAGCTAAAGTTTTACTTGGTTAATTACATCCTTCCAATGGTTGCTCAATTTGAATCCATCCTCTCGGTTGAAGTTATGTCTACGTTTATATATCTGGATGCCTTCATGGACAAATCTTTGGTAGTATCCAGGAGGCTTGCAGAGTACCTTGGTATCGGAGAACACAATGTCATGAGAACCCGCCGTGTTGTAACAATGGTCAGCTACGGCCGAATAATTTGTCCTTCCGTGTTTTAAATCCGACTTGTGCTCGCGAATGCGGTCAGATACATGTCGTTTCGTTTCCCCGATATAACAATCACCACAGGTGCAACTCAGTTTGTAGACACCAGGGTACTGTAAGTCAGGAATGACATCCTTTACGGATGGGATCAGATCACGGATCTTGTGTACTGTACTGAATCGGACCTGGATGTTGTGTTTGTCTAGAATTTGGGAAATCTTTTTGGTGATGCCTGCTATGTATGGCAATGTAATGATTTTGATCGGAGTCTCAGGGGGTTGATTCTCCACGGTGGGAGAAACAGCCTGGCGGATAGCACGGTCCAAGTATCCGTTCATCCTTAGAGCCAGATGTACATGTTCCAATTCACTGACCAGGTGGTGTTGGTCAGAGATGCAGTGGGCCCTATGGTATAGTGTTTTGATGAGGGAATTATTTTGTGCCGGATGGTGGTGGGAATCGGGCTTCAGGTAGGAATCTGTGTGGGTGGCCTTCCTGTAGACAGAATGTCCCAAAGAGCCATTGGGCCTCCTCTCAAACAGAATATTCAGGATTGGTAGCTTGCGAGCCTTCTCCACTTCCATGGTGAATTTGATGGATGGGTGTATGGAGTTGATGTGGTCTAGAAATTGGCTCAATGCTGGGAGGCCATGTGGCCAAATGACGAAAGTATCATCCACGTATCTCTTCGACAGGGAAGGACGCAGGGTGGATGTCTGGATGGCGTCTGTTTCAAATTTTTCCATGAAAACATTGACTATCACTGTTGACAATGGGGAACCCATAGGGGTACCCTAATTTTGTTTGTAGAAGGTGTCATTCCAGGTGAAGTACGTGTTCGTGAGGCAGTGCCTAACCAGCGCAGGGACATCAGGGTTCAGTCCATGTTGGACCAGTTTGTAGGTGGGAGAGTCAATGGTGGAGACGATAGGACAAGATGGGTACAAACTCTTTATGGATTTCTGGTAAGCCATACAATTTGGGTGGTCAAGCAGCATAGGGTTTTAAGGAAAACCGCTTGGTTGGTTCGATTATACATGTGGAATCAGTGATGATATTGTTGGTTTTTGTAATGAGGCTGTTGGTGGATTCTTTGAATTTTTGTATAGATACCATCATTAAGTAGGTCCTGAATTTTGTTATTGTATGTGCTTTTGTCCATGATGACTGTGGTATTGCCTTTGTCAGCTGAGAGGATGACGATGTCATCTCTCTTTTTTAATTGAGAAAGCTCACAGCGCACATCCTTACTGATGTTGCTGATAGGCGTCTTAGCATTTTTGAGGCTTGCAGCAATTTCCCATCTCACCATGGCTGCAGTAATGTGTCCAAAACCCTTAAAGGGCTACATCGACCTGGGCAATTATATCATCCACTGGGATGTGTTTAGGGGTGACTGTGAAGTTCAACCCTTGAGCTAGAACTGATTTTAGGCTCTCGGAAATTAGACCGTTGCTCTGATTGATAGCAATCTTGTCAACATCTAACTTTTTAATGTGTGGATCTGGCTACACCATTCGTAAAGCTATTGCCCCAGCCGTTGAGAAAGAACCATTTGAGGACCCAATCAAAACCATCACCTTGCCATGCATGGCAGGGGTCACCAAAAAGATTTCCAAAATCATGAGCAAACACAAGATCCAGGTTCATTCATCACGGTACATAAAATTAGTGATCTTATCCCATCAGTGAAGAATGTGATCCCTGATATGCAATACCCCGGCGTCTACAAACGGAGCTGTGTCTGCGGCAGTAGTTAAAATTGGGGAAACTAAGTGACATGTCTCGGACCATGTGCGTGAACATAAGGCAGATCTGAAACACGATAGGACCAATACCTCGGCCGTGGCTGATCATTGTTTTAATGCGGTGGGCTCGCACAAAATGTTTCTCTAAGACGAAGGTACTTTGCAAACCCACTGGCTATCAACAAAGATTCGTTCATGAAGCCATCCATATATACAGACATAGACACAATTTCAACCGAGAAGATGGGTACAAACTCAGTAATTACTGGAAGGACGTTATCAACCAGTTGAAGTCATAACTGGCTATAATGTTTCCATTCTAGATCTGGCAGCCCTTTAATTGGTGGAAGCCCCCCACCGGGACCATCACTGCCCACTGCTACGATCACCACTAGCAGTAGCCCTTTATTGGTGGAAGCCCACTGCGAGTGCCGTCGTGGCCTTCTGAGTGCCATCACCTCTAGCAGCAACCTCCACCGTCAACAGTGTGAGTGTGTAAAGCGAGGTGCAATGATTACTTGGCAGCCCTTTAATTAGTGGAAACCCACCACCAGGGCCGTCGTTGCCCTCTACGAGTACCATCACTTACATTAACATTAGCTTCCCCACCCATGCTGCTGACATTTGGGCTACGCCCATTTCAAACCTTTATAAACAGTTTGCCTTTAGAGGCTATAACCCCCTTTTCTTGATGACGACCGCTTGTGTTGCGATCGAAACGTCGTAGTTTTTTGTTATTTTCTTTGAACCTATCTACGTCACTTTACCGAAAGACCCAAAGAATATTAATTTCTGCAGTCACGAAAGCTATAAGTCAAGATTTGCTATTTATTCCCTCGCTCTGCCATATCGGTGAGCAGCAGGAGCCCCCTTTTCCGCCCATGGAGTCATTCATTAAACGAGAAGAAGACGATGACGACGACGGAGAGGCTGGCAGTAGGATCTGGCTGGCAGTGAAAGTGGAGACGCAGGGGGAGGAGAGCGGCGGCGACGACGACGACCACGGTGAGAATTTGTCTCCCCCACCCCAGCAGAGACCGCCCATGTGCCCTGTGAGCCCACTTGTTGACAGATCGAATTAAATGTTTGTCTTAACACCCCCTTCCCCCGCTCCGTCTTTTTCCCCGTTTCCGAGGCGGCTGCAAGTCGCAGGGTGAGTGAGTTGGGTGGGTGGGTTAGTGCGGTGGAGTGGGTGGGTTGTCCCCGTTCACCACCATATACACGACTACACACTACAATATTATACACTACTATATACTACACTACTTCCCTATACACTACACACTACACTGCTGCAGACTATACTACTATACACTACACTACTACACACTACACTATTTAAGTCTGTCGGTAAAGCCACATAGATAGAAAAATTATAAAAAATAAAAAATATCACGACGTTTCGATCGCAACACAAGCAATCATCAGGTGAAAAAATACAGCAGTTTTGCTAAAGAGTATGAATTCCTGCAGTCACAAAAGCTTTAAGTCAAGATTTAGACACTACAATACTACACACGACACTACTATATACTACACTACTACACACCATCCTTGACCCTACTACACACTACCCTTCTACACACCACTACTATAGACTACTATATACGACACTACTACCCGATACACTACTACACACCACTCCTAAATACTACACTTCTATATACTACACCATACACTCCACTAGTATACACTACACTAATATACACTACACCACTATGCTAACATTGAAAACTAACTTCTTTAGAACTGCTTGTGGTTTGTGCATTTAGTTTTGTTGTCCCCCGCACCTTCGAATAGCACGGTTGACTACGTGTACGGTGGTGCGAAAGAAGTTCAACAAACACACACGTCTACATTTAGAGAGAGGCATAGTACTAGGAGTGCCGTTGTGCAATTTTACAGAAGTTGTTTACTCACCGCAGATCACCGTAGCAGCACGACCGCCGCCACTCTACGGCAGATGGCGCCAAAAGCTGTGCCACATCACAACCCTCCTGTGTGGCCTTGTCGGCGGGAGCCTCGGTACCGATAAAAGTTATTTCACTTTTCGATTTTCTTCCGGCTCTGTTTTCATGACGTACTCGTACGTAGTGATGTACACGTATATACACGTGTGTACACACACGTACGTACACATACATCGGTTTTTCTTCCGATTCCGTGTACGATTCCGTGTATGTCATGACATACGTGTACATCATGACATACGTGTACACACGTCATCCACGTTTGGAAGAAAAACCAATGATGTACGTCACGATGTACGTGGACGTATACGTATGTAAGTCATCGGAAGGGAATCGGAAGAAAAACTGATGAAGTACACGTACGTACACGTATGTCATTTGAATGGGAAAGGGTATAATCACGGTGACATGAGACTCGGTTGTCTCTCAGTAAAACTTCCGAGTATGCATCTCTTGCGTACGCTTTGTGCGCTGTTGTTGTTCTTCCATCTCTTCATGGGTTGAGAGAATTAGATGACATTTAAGAAGAAGAGCAGCAGTAGGTGGATTTTGAGGAGGACACGTCAACCGGAGGGGTGACGGCCTTCTGGTCAAGGCTCACATCACAGTGGCATCCATGACAGGGGTTTATTTTTTCGTTGTTGGGTTAGATCACGTAAATATAAATGTGTCGTTAAACTCACCATCACCCGACACAGCCAATCAGTAAGGGGTTTGTCACAGAAACAAAACGAGGCCAATTTGTTACTAGTGTAATGCGAGCAAGGACAGGGTGGGCGCTGCCTCCGCACCACTCACGCGGGCCGGAGTATAGGGGAGGTGGAGCCTGGTCGTCGGGGTGAGTGGGGGCGGAGTCAGGGTCACGTGAGAAGGAGGATATAGGGTGAGAACCGGAAGGGGATCGGGAGTTGAGAGAGAGTGAAGAGAGAGTGAAGATAGGAGAAGCCACGCGGGATGCTGGCGGAGGAGTGGCACCAATTGCCACGTGGTCGGAGTCACGGCACCGTCGGCCAGCGATGTACGTGGAGCAGCGGAGTGGCTGCAGAGTGTGCGGAGTCACACGGAGCAGCGGGGTGGCTGCAGAGTGTGCGGGGCACACGGGCAGCGGTGTGACTGCAGAGAGAGCGGAGGACTCGAACGGCGTGCGGGGGCACGCGACGGAAGAGGTGCGGGTCCGACCGGGGACATCGCGGGGTGCGAGACAAGAACCCAATAAAGGACATAGGAGAGCTACATCGCCTAAGAGTCCTTTATTACACTAGTACAGCACTAACCGGTTGTCGTGTGTTGGAAAGTAAACCCACAACGTTACGTGCAACGAGTGTCCGTGCTCGTGAATCTGTTGATTGTGATGAAAAATAAGAATAGGTTTTAATTTTGGATTTTTGGATACTGGCAAAAAAGGTATCCTATAGATAAAACTGTTCCAGCTGAGCAATATGTGTTCTCCTACTTGCTTTGTCTTTGTACTGTTCACCTCTTCTTGGTTCTTTTGGTAAAGTCACGTAGAAGGGAAGTAATAAAATAATAAAAATAAAACATAATAAAATAATTCTCACGACGTTTCGGCCACAACGCAAGCAGCCGTCCTCAGGTGAAACCAGGTCTGTCGAGGCGACAGCGTCTGAATGAAACAGCACACGTGCTTGGAGCATATATATAAGCTCGGTTGGAAGGGGGGGGGGGAAGGGCACCTTGACAAAATAATTTGCATATCAAGAGGAATTTAGCATATTTATGGGAAATGCAGGTATGTGATTAGTACTACTTATGTCCGTGCATTATGCAGGATTAGCAGCATCCAAGGGAGGGGATATGGGAAATGCAGGTATGTGATTAGTGCTACTTTGCCCGTGCATTATGCAGGATTAGCAGCATCACAGGGAGGGGATAGGGGTAGCATTAATAAAAGGGAAGAAGTGTTAATAGTATGTAGCTGCAGTAACTAAAACCACCACGTAAACAACTAAAGTATAAACTACATAGTAGCATCATTATACTAAATATACTTTACAATAAGCTGAGTTACTAACAGTAAGTAATACATTACAATTCTACGTCGTAAAAAATATAATATGCTTCCATCTAAACGTTATTCTCTTACATCACACGAGTCTACACCGTACTATATACTGCCATAGACAAACCCAACATTAAATTACATACTGTATTGCTATAAACCACCTTATCCATTGTAATATTACACTATGTATTATTCTACCCACCCTAATGTATATCACACTGCTGTATATTCACTATACAATTACGATACTATATATTACTTTGTACATTGTATTAAGCATATACATTTTTATACTATTTGTTATTATACATTGTACCGTTGACCGTCGTGTGAAAGATACTAAGAGGAAGAAACAAAATATGTCAATGCAGCGGAGCAAAGAATCCATTCCCTGCGGAGAATACAATGCCAGTGAGTGGAACGCGGTCTGAAAGTCACCGTAAACGTGAACACAATCAGTTAAGATCCGAAATGGTTTATTACGTCCTTCCAATGATTGCTAAGCCAGAATCCATCTTCTCGGTTGAAATTGTCTCTGTGTTTGTATATGTGGATCGCCTCATGAACGAATATCTCATGGTAGCCAGATGGCTTGCAGAGAACCTCTGTCTTGGAGAAGTCATATCATGTGAGCCCACTGAATTGTAACAGTGATCTGCCACGGCTGAGGTGTTTGTCCTACCGTGTTTTAAGTCTGCTTTATGTTCACGGATGCGGTCCGAGACATGTCGTTTGGTTTTTCCAATGTAACTGCTACCACAGAGGCAACTTAGTTTGTAGACGCCAGGGTACTGTATGTCTGGAACCACATCTTTTACATACGGGACCAGATCACGCATTTTATGTACTGTGTTGAATCGGACCTGGATCTTGTGTTTTATCAGGATTTTGGAGATTTTTTTTGTGATCCCAGCAATGTAGGGTAAGGTGAAAGGCTCCTCAACGGGATCCTTCTTGATGGTTGGAGTGATGGCTTTGCGGATTGTGTAGTCGGAGTAACCATTAGCCTTAAGAGCTTGGCGTACGTGTTTGAGTTCACTGGCAATGTGTTCCTGGTCGGATATGCATTGGGCTCTATGGTATAGAGTCTTGATGAGGGAATTCTTCTGGGATGGATGGTTGTGGGAATCCGGTTTTAGGTAAGCATCCGTATGGGTGGCTTACCTGTAGACAGCATATTATATTTTTTACGACGTAGAATTGTAATGTATTACTTACTGTTAGTAACTCAGCTTATTGTAGAGTATATTTAGTATAATGATGATACTATGTAGTTTATACTTTAGTTGTTTACGTGGTGGTTTTAGTTACTGCAGCTACATACTATTAACACTTCTTCCCTTTATTACTGCTACCCCTATCCCCTCCCTGTGATGCTGCTAATCCTGCATAATGCACGGGCAAAGTAGCACTAATCACATACCTGCATTTCCCATAACCCCTCCCTTGGATGCTGCTAATCCTGCATAATTCACGGACATAAGTAGTACTAATCACATACCTGCATTTCCCATATCCCCTCCCTTGGATGCTGCTAATCCTGCATAATGCACGGACATAAGTAGTACTAATCACATACCTGCATTTCCCATAAATATGCTAAATTCCTCTTGATATGCAAATTCTTTTGTCAAGGCGCCCTTTCCCCCCCCCCTTCCAACCGAGCTTATATATATGCTCCAAGCACGTGTGCTGTTTCACTCAGACGCTGTCGCCTCGACAGACCTGGTTTCACCTGAGGACGGCTGCTTGCGTTGTGGCCGAAACGTCGTGAGAATTATTTTATTATGTTTTATTTTTATTATTTTATTACTTCCCTTATACGTGACTTTACCGAAAGAACCAAGAAGATGAATCCCTGCAGTCACGAAAGCTTTAAATCGATACTGTTCACCTGTTGGCATTCGCTGTCTCTGGTGTAGACCAATCAGCTTCAAAGACAATGCGTATATTATCAGAGCATGTTTGCACGTGTAGTGTCAGCGGAGCGGGAGACAAGGTTCTTGAGGAGGCACCTTTATTCAACACTTTCAGGTTCACAGATTCGCCCTCGCTTCTCCCAAGTCGTCTAGCCTAGCCTTGACACAATCCTCACCGTGTTACACCGACGGCGCCGACCCAGAAAGCCAACAACTATCCAGCCGCACAATATCTCGCGAAGACGGCAGTGATGAAGGTGGCGAAGACGACAGCGATGACGAGACGAGTCCACTTCCCAGAACCGGCAGCCACGAGCTCCCGCTCTCCGCTGCGTTTATGCTACCCGGCACAGCCTGGCTCTTCCCTGGCCACGCCTCCCTTCTCACTAGCGGGTTCCAGGGGCTTCCAGATGGGGTCCTCCCTGACCCTTGCCCCAGTTCCTCCGCCCTGGCGACAACACCTGTGTATATGCTCATCGGCGTGTGTACTGCTCGGCCACCGCAGTTGCCATTGCTGGACAACAGACGGCGCTATTACACTACACATGTATCGACACGAGTATGTATGGTTAATGCAGACTTGATGCCTTGCAAAAAGGTATCCCTCCGGTGTTTGAACATTTTTACACAAATCCTTTATTTTATTATTGCCAAAAAGAGTTATTTTTATTTTCTTATTTTTTATTTTCATCTTTTTTTTGTATAGTGGCAGAAAAAAAGGTATTCCATTGGTATATAACCTGTTCATTGTTCGCCTGCAATGTTTCATCTCTTGGCCGAAGGGGCGGACGTGCGTACCGGAGAGGTGGATGGCCGAGAACTTCAGGTCAAACGAGAGCCGCGGGAGGTCAAACGAGAGACGCGGGAGGTCGAACGAAGGGACCTGCACATTGTGGAGGTCGACCCTCAAGATCCGCTGGTTGGCGACGGTTCATCTGTGAGACCTGGAGAGTCGCGGGGGGACTGTTTGGGATCGTCAGGCGTGGCGGAGATCGAAGTGGAGGTGGGCGACGACGACAATGGTGACGGTGAGGGAGGGGAGGGAATTCCGATGGATCTTGGTCGCTGTGAGGGGTGAGGTCTGGTACAGAGGCCTCTCCAACCTGTCGATGTGGTGGAGAGATGGAGATGGCTTTGGAGGACTTAAGTGATAAGTCTACAGGGGAGCTCTATGTGTATGTTTGGGGGTGCTGTGGTGACTTAGAAATGTTAACTCCCTCGCCTGATATACATGAGGTTGTGGGTTTGATCCCGACACTGACGCCTGCTGTATATTTGGAGTTTGCCTGTCTCTCTCTGTGGTTGCATGGATTTTTAGCCGGGTCCTCCGGTTTTTCCCTCCACTTGTGATAGGCAGGTCACTTCTTGCGGCCTTACCTGGTAAAATAAAAAAAATGGTTTAATTTAGTTTAAGTGTCGTAGTTTGATGTTCACAGCCCCCTCACCAATGACTGCATCAACAACAAAAATTCATTGGGTTAAAATGTGGGTCTACAACAATTAATTTGGCCACATTACATCTCTGGTAAAGTAAATATTGGTTTTACCATCAGGAATAAAACCGTTACTCTCACGTGGCAGGGCAGGTAGGAAAAGTGCTCCTTTCCACGTGCTAGATCAGAGGTAATTTTAAAAGGCTCTACAAAAGGTGGTTTGGTGATAACTGCTTCCGTGGGCCTTTCTCTCATGTTAACTCTGCGAGGGGGGGGGGGCATCCAAACGGATTCTTCCGTCTCACGGCGTGACGCCAAATCGGTGTTGGAAAAAAACCAACAATTGTCTGAACGTTTGTGTGACAGGGATGGTCATGGATGGTGCCCCGGAAACGCTCTCCCATGCGAAAAAATCCACCGGGACAACGACAACCTGCGCCAGAAAGAGATCGTACGGCTGCTCGGTGTGCGGCAAAAGCTTCGTCCGCCCGTCGGAACTCAGGTCCCACACGATGAGGCACACGGGAGAGAGGCCGCACAAGTGCTGCGTGTGCCAGAGGGCATTTGTCACCGTGTCCAACCTCAATAAGCACATGATGGTCCACAGGGGCGAAAGCCCGCACAAGTGCCCGGTGTGCGGGAAGGGGTTTGCCAAGGAGACGCAGCTGAGGAACCACGAGATGATCCACACGGGCAAGTGGCCCCACGTGTGCACCGTGTGCGGGAAGGGCTTCGAGCGCCCGTTCGATCTGAAGGCCCACGCGATGATCCACACGGGCGAGAGGCCCCACGTGTGCACCTTGTGCGGGAAGGGCTTCGGCCGCCTGTCCCACCTTAAGAACCACACGGCCTCGCACACCGGTGAGAGGGCGCACCGATGCCTGGTGTGCGGCAAGGGCTTCAGGCGCCATTCGGACATCAGGGGCCACATGGCGATGCACACAGGCGAGAGCCCGCTCCGGTGCCCCGTGTGCGGCAAGGGGTTCAATGAGTCGACGCAGCTCAGGAGGCACGTGAAGAGCCATACGGGGGAGTGGAGCCACCGCTGCTCCGTGTGCCAGAGAGGGTTCTTCCGCCCATCGGAACTGAAGATTCACATGATGAACCACACGGGGGAGAGGCCGCACAAGTGCTTGGCGTGTGGCAAGGACTTCAAGCAGTATGCAGCCCTGAGGACCCACGTGATGAGCCACACGGGAGAGAGGCCACACAAGTGCTCTGTGTGCGAGAAGGACTTCGTGCATCGCTCATCTCTGACGAGCCACATGAAGACGCACACGGGGGAGAAGCCGTACAAGTGCCCCGTGTGCGAGAGGGTCTTCAGGAAATCATCGACCCTGAAGAATCACATGAAGATGCACGTGGGAGAGGGAGCGTGCGCGATCGGGAGTATGTTTGATTTGTCAAGCCCTTTGTGAGAGGTGCCCTTTATGACCGCACAGTGGAGATTCGCAGACATGCGGGGGAGCAGTTAGTCAGTGAGGAATATATCGGGAGGGTAAAGACGCTACCAAGAAATCTTCAACGGCTCGAAATGAATTGCAAATGACTAACCAGTTATCTGAACTACTAGTCACTTATAGCTCTGGATTAATAGATGGGCTGTGAAAATATCTACACCGCTTGGATGTAAGGATCAAGAAACCTATCTACACGGCAAGTTGTATACAATTGGTGTCAGAGGCTGTGCGTGCTCCATGCTGTAGGATGGTCAGGGCTCATAGTACCGATCATATCTCAGAATCCGAACATTTATTTACACGGCAGGAGCAATCCGATGAGCTATAAAGCTCTCTTTCACAGATGTCCAGTAGGGGCACGAGGGCCATCACGTTACAACAACAATACACAGTACACACAAACACGATATGAGTACAAAGTACAAGACAGGTAAACAAATCATCCAAACACATACAAATACAACAAAACCATCCCCTTCCTACCAGGCAAAGCCCACTGGTATTTACAAATTTTTCAGAAGCGACCTGGCTGACACAAATTATATCTAAATGAAGGGACGTCATCTGCAAAAAGCAACGACGATGCCTCCATGCCCCCGTACTGTAAACTCTCCCTACCTCGCACCCTTGGCGTAACTTTGCCGCGGTTATTTGTGAGCCTGTGAATCCAATGGAGGTGAGAACTCCATTGTTCCCAAGAAGCCACCTTCCTCTTTCCCCCACTGGAAATACATCAAAATTGATGCTCTTGGTTTTGGTAAGCTTCATGACCTGCTCTCGAAAAGGACAACAATATGCAACTTTGTCAGATGCGGCTTCAGCCAAGGAGCTATAGGAGAGCTCTCAAATAGGAATTCTTGTAGATCGACCAACCCATTTCCACCGCTACTACTGCCAAGGTGTCACATTTTATTGTGGAGTGCATTCCTGGCTTTCTGGACCGCTGGACACTGTCCAAGTATGTGTGAAAGGGATTCAAGTCGGAGTGAGCATTTCCTACAAGACCGCAGGGCTCCTTCCCTGCCTCTCTTCAGGCTCTCCCTTATTGGGTATATATTACTCCGCAGTTGTTATGCAGCGATGTTGTGGCACTCTGAAGTGACGCATTGCTGACTTTACCCTCTGCAAAGTTCACAATACCTATACCTTCAACTGGTCTTTCACACCATCTTCAAAACTTCACGCTGCCTCTAGTCGCATGGTATCGACCAAATGGGTTTTTTTGGTGCCTTGAAATTCCACCCCTCTTAGCTCATATTTTGATATGGCATTTGTCTCCTCCTGGCCCATACCCACAGGGTCTGGAATCCTCACCACCTTAAGCGGACACTATATAGCAGGTGACCTCGTCCGAGGATTCTTTTTTACACCGTGCAGCCTCAAATGAACCGATGGGATCATACTCTCTAGTTTAATAATGCCTAGACCTCCATCTCAGGTCCGAGAGTCCAAAACCCCATCACAGGTGGAGGCAGAAAGGTGTAACAATTGGTTTACCCCATTTCTAATCTCCTGATCTAGCGTGATTAGAGTAGACGATTTATAATATAATTGATCGATCTGCTGGGTAGATTAATCTGGGGGGTACAGGCATACCCCGTTTAGCACGGGAGATGCGTGCCTGGAAAGCGCTTGGTGAATGGGGGCTATATACGGGGTTATAGCATACACCCTATGCGGATGTGTTTCCGACATCGTAATTTATCACCTATGACCAACACAGGGGTTAATTGGGTTATTGGAACAATATTATGGATGATAAACATGACTTATAAATACTGTTAATGGTACTAAATTTCGAAATAACAAAGTCTACTCACCAGTGCATGGTGCGACCCTGATATGGTGATCTTGGCAGCGCTGGGAGACAAGATGAGAGTTGCAGCTTCCGCCCAGTGGTGCAGTCCAATCTGTGACTTGGCTTCCACGGCCCCCACCCCACCCCGGTTTTAGAGGAAAGCGCTCATTGGCGCAGAGCGAACACCGCGCCAAGTCGACTATGATAGCGCTCGCTCATTGGCTGAGGGTGGAGAGCGTGAAATGGCACTAATACTGAACAGGACTTGTATGAGAGCCTACACCGTGCTAACTTAAGCACGGCTTTTCATTCTTATGATTTAAATTTACTGAACGTTAAATATGTAATGTTTTTTTTGTAATAAACACTATATATTTTGTTAAAATAAAAATTTGCCTAAGAGATGGCTGTGACGAGGGATTATTTCGCTGCGGGGAGGGGGGGCATACTTAAGCAATTGTTCTTTCGCTGTGTTTGTCCCCACCTGAAGACGGACGCTTGTGTTGCGCCCGAAAGCCGTGATTTAATTTAGTGTTTATTTTGTATTTATTTAATTTTTTCCTACGTGACTTTACCAAAAAAAACAAAGAGGATGGATCCTTGCAGTCATGAAAACTTCAAATCTAGAATGAATACCCTCTACGGGGAGGATTTCCACTTATCTGATAGAGTTTTTAACAGACAACGAGACAAGAAGTCACAGCTTATCGAGACGCTAACCTTCCTCAAGAGATGCTGCGGCAATAAGGTCATACCCATCGCTTTCACACTCACATCTGCTGCTGTCTTCACCGAATGCTAAGCAGATTTTGTTCAAAGCTAGCCTATCACTAATATCAGAGAGAATAAGATTGCTCCGATTTGAACTCGATAATTTAGACAAGATTCTCTTACAATCACATTTAATGTTAACACAAAAAATGTCCCCTTCCGATTGGGACTGTGTTGACAACATGACAGCCTCCTCTGCTGATTCATTGTCAACCACATGTAAAGCTAACCTGATTGCTAAATTCAACCTCCTATCAAAGAAAAAGCCAGAACCACACATTACAAAGCTAGATGTCAACAAGATTGTTATTAATCAGAGTAACATCCCAATTTCTGACAATCTAAAAACGGTACTAGCTAAAGGGCTGAATTTCGCAGTTACCCCTAATCTCCCAAGTCGATGTAGCCCTCAAAGGCTTAGGACACATCCAAACGGACGTTGCTAGAGCTGAAATAGCCATTATCCTCAAGAATGCTAAGAAACCCATTAGCAACATCAGCAAAAACGAGCGCTCTGAACTCGCAAATTTGAAAAAGAGGGATGACATATTCATCCTCTCGGCTGACAAGGGCAAGTCCACTGTCATCATGGATAAAAACACATACAACAACAAAATCCAGGACCTACGCAATGATGGCAGCTACTCCAAAATCAATAGAGATCCGACTAACAGCCGAACTACTAAAACCAACAAGATCATCACCAGTTCGACTTCCCTAATCGAACCAATCAAACGGCTCTCTTTAAAACCCTCGGCTGCGAGACCTCCCAGATTCTATGGTCTTCCCTAGATCCATAAAGAAGGTACCCCACTACGGCCCATCGTGTCCACGATCAACTTGCCTACGTACAAACTAGCCCATTTTCTATCGGATACTCTGCTTCCCTTCACTCGCAAGACCACTTCAGCAGTACTTAACTCAACTCACTTGGTCTCTCTAGTCAAGGACATTTTTCCTGTCTCCTGATGATGTCCTCGTCAGCTTTGATGTGGTCTCTCTATTCACCAAGGTTCCAGTGCCTGATACCATAACAATAATTGAAGACTATGTCCAACATGGACTGAACCCTGATGTCCCTGCGCTGGTTAGGCACTGCCTCACCAACACGTACTTCACCTGGAATGGTACCTTCTACAAACAAAATGAGGGTACTCCTATGGGTTCCCCCTTGTTACCAGAAATTTGAAACAGACGCCATCCAGACATCCACCCTGCGTCCTTCCCTGTGGAAGAGATATGTGGATGACACTTTCGTTATTTGGCCACATGGCCTCCCAGCATTGAACCAATTTCTCGACCACATCAACTCCATACGCCCATCCATCAAATTCACCATGGAAATGGAGAAGGATGGCAAGCTACCATTCTTGGATGTTCTGTTTGAGAGGAGGTCAAATGGCTCTTTGGGACATTCTGTCTACAGGAAGGCCACCCACACAGATTCATATCTGAAGTCTGATTCACACCACCATCCGGCACAAAATAATTCCCTCATCAAAACACTATACCGTGGGGCCCACTGCATCTCTGACCAACACCACCTGGCCAGTGAATTAGAACATGTACACCTGGCCCTTAATATGAATGGATACTCGGACTGTACTATCCTATCCGCAAAGCTGTTTCTCCTACCGTGGAGAAACAACCCCCTGAGACTCTGATCAAAAGTATTACGTTGCCATACATAGCAGGCGTTACCAAAAAGATTTCCAAAATTCTAAATAAACACAAGATCCAGGTCCGATTCAGTACAGTACACAAAATCCGTGATCTGATCCCATCTGTAAAGGATGTAATTCCTGACTTACAGTACTCTGGTGTCTACAAATTGAGTTGCACCTGTGGTGATTGTTATATCGGGGAAACGAAACGACATGTATCTGACCGCATCGGATTTGAAACACGGTAGGACGAATTCCTCGGCCGTAGCTGACCATTGTTACCACACGGCGGGTTCTCATGATATTGTGTTTTCTGATACCAAAGTACTCTGCAAGCCATCTGGATACTACCAAAGTTTTGTCCATGAAGCCATCCCAATATACAAACATAGACATAACTTCAACCGAGAAGATGGATTCAAATTGAGCAATCATTGGAAGGATGTCATTAACCAAGTTAAACTTTAGCTAGTTTATATTCATATCCATATTCCCAGTCTTTTACTCCCAGCTTTACACAATACCATCACTAAGAAATTTGACTCCAAGCCCTGCTTACTCCCATCACTTGGTTATTTGCCGCGCATTGTTTCGAGCTTGTGGAGCTTAGTACTTCCCCCAGCAGCTCCAGTTTACTCCCCTGCAGCATACCAAAGGATGTTATTAATCGGCTTAACTTAGCTGTCCCCTTCCGATTGGGACTGTGTTGACAACATGACAGCCTCCTCTGCTGATTCATTGTCAACCACATGTAAAGCTAACCTGATTGCTAAATTCAACCTCCTATCAAAGAAAAAGCCAGAACCACACATTACAAAGCTAGATGTCAACAAGATTGTTATTAATCAGAGTAACATCCCAATTTCTGACAATCTAAAAACGGTACTAGCTAAAGGGCTGAATTTCGCAGTTACCCCTAATCTCCCAAGTCGATGTAGCCCTCAAAGGCTTAGGACACATCCAAACGGACGTTGCTAGAGCTGAAATAGCCATTATCCTCAAGAATGCTAAGAAACCCATTAGCAACATCAGCAAAAACGAGCGCTCTGAACTCGCAAATTTGAAAAAGAGGGATGACATAGTCATCCTCTCGGCTGACAAGGGCAAGTCCACTGTCATCATGGATAAAAACACATACAACAACAAAATCCAGGACCTACGCAATGATGGCAGCTACTCCAAAATCAATAGAGATCCGACTAACAGCCGAACTACTAAAACCAACAAGATCATCACCAGTTCGACTTCCCTAATCGAACCAATCAAACGGCTCTCTTTAAAACCCTCGGCTGCGAGACCTCCCAGATTCTATGGTCTTCCCTAGATCCATAAAGAAGGTACCCCACTACGGCCCATCGTGTCCACGATCAACTTGCCTACGTACAAACTAGCCCGTTTTCTATCGGATACTCTGCTTCCCTTCACTCGCAAGACCACTTCAGCAGTACTTAACTCAACTCACTTGGTCTCTCTAGTCAAGGACATTTTTCCTGTCTCCTGATGATGTCCTCGTCAGCTTTGATGTGGTCTCTCTATTCACCAAGGTTCCAGTGCCTGATACCATAACAATAATTGAAGACTATGTCCAACATGGACTGAACCCTGATGTCCCTGCGCTGGTTAGGCACTGCCTCACCAACACGTACTTCACCTGGAATGGTACCTTCTACAAACAAAATGAGGGTACTCCTATGGGTTCCCCCTTGTTACCAGAAATTTGAAACAGACGCCATCCAGACATCCACCCTGCGTCCTTCCCTGTGGAAGAGATATGTGGATGACACTTTCGTTATTTGGCCACATGGCCTCCCAGCATTGAACCAATTTCTCGACCACATCAACTCCATACGCCCATCCATAAAATTCACCATGGAAATGGAGAAGGATGGCAAGCTACCATTCTTGGATGTTCTGTTTGAGAGGAGGTCAAATGGCTCTTTGGGACATTCTGTCTACAGGAAGGCCACCCACACAGATTCATATCTGAAGTCTGATTCCCACCACCATCCGGCACAAAATAATTCCCTCATCAAAACACTATACCGTGGGGCCCACTGCATCTCTGACCAACACCACCTGGCCAGTGAATTAGAACATGTACACCTGGCCCTTAATATGAATGGATACTCGGACTGTACTATCCTATCCGCAAAGCTGTTTCTCCTACCGTGGAGAAACAACCCCCTGAGACTCTGATCAAAAGTATTACGTTGCCATACATAGCAGGCGTTACCAAAAAGATTTCCAAAATTCTAAATAAACACAAGATCCAGGTCCGATTCAGTACAGTACACAAAATCCGTGATCTGATCCCATCTGTAAAGGATGTAATTCCTGACTTACAGTACTCTGGTGTCTACAAATTGAGTTGCACCTGTGGTGATTGTTATATCGGGGAAACGAAACGACATGTATCTGACCGCATCGGATTTGAAACACGGTAGGACGAATTCCTCGGCCGTAGCTGACCATTGTTACCACACGGCGGGTTCTCATGATATTGTGTTTTCTGATACCAAAGTACTCTGCAAGCCATCTGGATACTACCAAAGTTTTGTCCATGAAGCCATCCCAATATACAAACATAGACATAACTTCAACCGAGAAGATGGATTCAAATTGAGCAATCATTGGAAGGATGTCATTAACCAAGTTAAACTTTAGCTAGTTTATATTCATATCCATATTCCCAGTCTTTTACTCCCAGCTTTACACAATACCATCACTAAGAAATTTGACTCCAAGCCCTGCTTACTCCCATCACTTGGTTATTTGCCGCGCATTGTTTCGAGCTTGTGGAGCTTAGTACTTCCCCCAGCAGGTCCAGTTTACTCCCCTGCAGCATACCAAAGGATGTTATTAATCGGCTTAACTTAGCTGTCCCCTTCCGATTGGGACTGTGTTGA